AAGCCATTTAAGATGCAGGATTGATTTACTGGTGAGTGGTGATAATATTCAGAAAGATATTGTTCGTTCTTCAATTTTTTTATCTGGAGCTAACATGTTTACCGAAAAGTTATTCTTATCTTGAAAATGTTGTTTCCAGCCATATCTTTGATTCCAGTATGGCGTCAATAAGTAATGCTAAAAGTGATTATAAGTTACGCAAAAAGATCAAACTATAAGGCAGTATTATGAAAAGCCACGATCATTCAACAGTGAAGAGAATTTGATCCACTCAAACTGTTTTTTCAAACTCGATGAAAGTTTAAATCATAAAATAAAGGCCACTGATCATTTTAAGCCTTGAAAACATTCTGGTAATTGACTGGTACTGGAAGCATGAAAAATGCACGGTCAGCAAAATTGCGACATTCAAATCTGATGATACCATCAAAAAAGCTTGTAACGTGGACGTGACTTCCGGTCTTCTGCCAGAAGGTTCCCAAGGCTTAATGATTATATCCTTAGAAATCTCGGTTAGGCTGGTTGCTAGATGGGTATGCAAAATTTCCTGTCTATAAAATATCTATTCTTTAGAATCATGCAGCATTTATTATGATTTCTTCTTGAGAACATCGTAGGAGTTGATTTCACTACTTAGTTTTAACATTATTTTGACATTAACATTAGCTTCGCATTAACATTATTTTAGCATTATTTCTTTCTATTGAATGCACCTAAGACTGTAAGTGACTAGAAATAACAGTAGGACTGTAGTATGAAAAGGCCATTAAACAACTGAATTTACTGGTTGTTAGGAGAACCAAAGAAGATGTCCTATAATTAATAGTTCAAAAATCCTCGAACTTCATTGTCTCTTCCAGGCATGTCTTTAAAACTGGCCCCTTCAGGTTGTACCCTCCACGCAAAAGACTTAAGACTATCAGTTTTGGTACATTTATGTTTTTCGAGTTTCTTTTTTAGTTGTTTCCAAAAAATAAGTTGAGGAAAACAAAGATAAATATTTCATCCAGTTTCCTTAGATTCGCCTTTAAAGTACCAAATGATTCCACAGTTCAAAGGGAATGAATTCTATATTTTAACCCAAGTACGAAATTCATTTGATTTTTTATGCACCTATTCTTTATACATTTTCAATATTTGTAGCTGCAAAGATTGGTTTTGAAGTCTCGGTCAATTTTGTATGTAAGTCGGTCCAACTTTTCGTGATACCTGAAGGCAGAATGGAACATTCGACAATTTAGAAATACTTTGCTTTGTTGATTTTGAAATATGAAATTATTGCAAGATATCATCATGAAATATGAAATAATGCCATCCCCCCTTATAGGGCCTCCCTAATGTATGCTGATGAGATTATTTTCATGAGTACCACCCTCGATGGACTGAGAGATGTGATTCGTACCTGTGTAACTGTCTCCAAGATGAACTGTATGAATTTCATCTCTGGAAAAATGGGGTTCTGCACATCCAAATGTCAATCAGATTGCTCGCTATTTCATAACACATTTGATATGAATGGTTTTCTAATAAAACCGGTTGGCAATCTGCAGGTCCGTTGACAGCCAGCTCAGGCCGAGAGGTGATTTATAAAACTGGGCCCCCCAAAAATTTAGCTGTGGCCAGGCCCTTCAGTCTCCCGGAGAACTAGGGAAACGCCCTTTTAGCTACAATTGATGAAAAAGTATTTTAAAGATTTTTACGAGATTGTGGAAAAACACTTTCCATGAATCAAGGACGTGTGGGTATTGTTTTCTCTGTGATAAACTCACAGGCGTTGATTTCATATAAGTAGCTGAAAGAGTAGCTTTTTCATTGTGAATAGATCTCATTGCATTATTACGGGCCCCATCGGAGTACGGGCCCTGGACCTCTTGCCCCTCCTAACCCCCCCCCCCTCTCCCATCTCGACGCCCCTGGCAATCTGAAACCTTTTCGGCGTGTTTTGGAACTTGACCGTCTAACGATGGAAAATGAAAATATTTTACTGATCTCACCAAGTTCTAGTCTTTAGTTAAAGATTTAGTTAAAGTTAAAGATGGTATGCGGTTATGCCACCCTGCTACCATTAAACAAGACTTAGCAAACACTTACAATCACTTGCTAATCCTACTCTGACATATGATCTGTAGCTATGCAATCTAACTCCGAATCACCTGAACAAACTCGACACTGAAGCCCAAAAGCCCTAAAATCTTTGTTCAACATCTCACATTTAAGTAGAGATTACCTCAATACCCTAATGAGCATTGAAAACATTTCTACAAGGCTAATCAAAAACAAGCTTGAACTTCGAGTTCGTCTTCTAAACAATCAATCTACGATAAAAGTCGTTTTAAGATCATTACAACTGCCTTTGTTAAAAATAGCATCCTTTCAAACCACTTCATTTCCTTCTGGCATGGTTGATATTAATTTTGTGTCCCTCACTATCTCTAAAAAATTCAAGAAAGTAAATGATATCCGCAAAGAAATTCCTGAGAATGACCTCACTCGATTTCTGAACAACTGGACTAATGCTGCTTATCAAATTCAAAGACACTCTTTAAGAAAGAGTGATCAGACAGCCCTAATGTGTTATGTTTAAAAAAATTATGTCATTACATCATATTATCTAGTTTCTTGTTGTTGTTTTTTTTAAAAAAAATCAATTTCTATGTGTTTATTGGGGGCTCTCTCTCAATAAGTTAGCTTAAAAAGCTCCTCCTTAGTCAATCAATGTACAATTTTATTTAGGAATCGGTTGATGAATAAATGAAACTGACACTGAAAGGAGAAGAGCTCTGGTACTTGGTCACGCCTTCTTGACCAAATCCAGGTTTAGCCAGGCTAGCAGGGGTACTAGTTTGGCCAGGCCTCAACGCACATAATAATCCATTCTTGCATTAGATGATTCGGGTTACGCTCGCAGATTGTCTGAGATAAAGAATAGGAATTTCTATTCACACTCTGAGAGGAACTGAGCGACAACCAAGATTCTTCATCGACCCATTTAAAAACTGATATGTTCCTATTCACTAACAAAGCCAATCGTATTTACGCATCAATCTCTATAGCACAGTACATACTAATTTTTGTCGAGGGGCAATTCACTGCAAATAGCGTACGAGAATTCCATTGTGATCTGCCCCTCGCATTTTATATTTCCACTTATTAATTCGAAACTGCTATTTTCATTTCAGTCTGCTAAATGCATCTTGAAAATGGAAAAACTTCTGGCATGTCAAAATCTTTTACGCGTTTTGAGAAACGTCGCCATCAAACAAGAGAAAGAAATCAGTTTAGAAAGGTACTATAGTAACACAGTAATATTAGTGTCCTTGCTAAATACAAAAGGCAAGGGCACAAGGGCGTATTTATCGAATGGGCTCTTTGGCCCTCCTTGTGGAACTTGCACCAGCCATCCCCCGCGCCCCCTCTCCTCCGGCGTTTATGACACAGTCGATTACATAACTGACGAAGTTACATAACACTCCAATGACGTCCATAACCTTCACAAATAACTTTATCGCGAAACAAAATAAGATTCAAGAGGTGTTTTTATTGCATATTCGAACAATCGTTTGGTTACATATCTTTTGCCTTGTACTTCGTCGGCCGAGAGGTCTCTTCTCGCACTATACTTTATAAAAAATGTCCTTGCCCTGAATCTCCTCCTGTTTGCGTCGATTGGATTCTTCGTTGACAAATCTTCTTGTGTCAAAGTTAATTAATTATAATGATATGCATACCCCCCCCCCCACCAAGAATTTTAAATGCTAGAAGAAGCGTACCTAGTTTCTTATAAAGCGAAAATGTTCTCTATGCTAACAGGCTGAAGTTTCTTATACGTTAATTTCTTTTAAGTGGCGATTTACTGTAGAACGAAATTTGTAAGAAACCTCCTCGACTCAACTTCCTATATTTAATTCGCTTTGTCCTTTTACGTTTTCAGCTAATGATTCTTATAGCAATTCGATACTTTTTAGCTATTTCTCTTAGTTTTGTCTTTGTGTTCCCTGAATAGCTAAACCTTAGAATTGGCAGCAAAAGGGAGAATGATTTTTCGTGAGGTCAATTCCCATTGCTTGGAAGCTTCATTAGCCCATTTCTCATTGTTCGCTAAGCTGCATTTCTGTCTAAACGAAAATGAAGCAAAAAGTTTCCGTCTACACGGAAACCGATGCCATTCAAATCTATTTTCAAGTGATTCAATTCTGGATGAAATTTTCAAATGTTTGCGTTTTCAGTCGTTGTGCAGATTGAAAGTAGAACTGCAAAGCAATGCTTTTGATTTCAGTGCGTTTTCTCCGGGCCGTGTCATAAATTGATTGGCATAAATCGACCTCTTCACATACTTTCTCACTTTGCCTGTGGTCGCGATTGTTTAATTCTAATTAGCGTCTTTGGCAGAATAATTTTTGACGAACCATTGCTTTTCGAATACCTGTTTCCAGATAGCTTGAATACCTTTTAGTAGACACTACCAACGTTATTCGTAAAGGATTTTGTGGCACAAAAAGGAGATTCTACAGCCAAAATGTATCTGCAGGGAAAAGAGTTTTCAAGGTATTACCATGTCATTAGTATTAGCAGGTAACACCATGGTAACACTGACTCCATTCACTCAGTGGGAGCACTGACTTCATCAGTCAACAGTATGTAGGTCTAATACGGTTTTTAAAAGCACGGAAACGCTCAGTTGCCATTTCTCTATTTACTGTAAACCCTGTTGTTCTCAGCGTAAATATAAGCACAATTAATAATGCAAAAAGAAGAGAAAAACCCTAGCAGACTTGGATAAAAATCATGTCTGATCTGATTGTTAGAAAAGCACCTTTACCAACACTTATAAATGCATTTTTCAGTCGAAAATTTTCTCTTCTAGCATCAAAAATATTTTTCAAAGCACCCAAAGAAGTACGAAATTATTTGACGATTTTCAAGACACAAACAATTACATTATACTCTAAATATATTGAATTATTCTAAAACTATTGGTAATCAATGATATAAATGGGTACCTTAGAAATGTCTTTAAACCGTAGTACTGTTGTGGTATTTGCTTCTGAACCTTCTTGTTCAAGCAGAATGCAGCTCTCTTTGGAAGCGTCAGTCACCAAATCATTTTCCAAGACGTCAAGTTTAAAGTTAGCGATTGGCGAAAACCACGTTGTATTCAGTTCAGCAGAATACTTTCTCTGCATCAAGATTCCGTTTTTCAGAACAAATACATCTTCCATTGCAGTGGCACTTGCAGCGACAGAGGTTTTTTCAATATCCAGTAAAAGAAGAAGCCAAATGGCAATGAATTTTTCCATCATGTTTATGCTTTTTAGAAGTAGTTTGATTTTGTCGGTTATGCGAGCTATACAAGGACTATACTGGCTCAACACCACTACCCTTCTCTCTGGGGAATCTTTAACGGTAACTGCATTTATGTTGGCCATGCCCTCCATAGAAATTGTACAACAATAGATTCTAAGCGGTTGAATGGCACCATTAAATGAATAAGCACAATCCCAAGTGGACTCATTGCAAGTCTGCAAACACCCCCTATTAAACTTGTGACGCTACTAGGTTAATCGTTATCAGAACTGTGGTATACGGGGGAGTACTAGACAAAACTGTAGGAAAGAAAAAAGTCACTTTGCTGACAGCAAAGAAATGGATGACAGTCATTAGCCTTGTTCGCATTACGAAAACTATACGAGCCTCGGCCCAGGCTAAGTTTGCACCGCCCGTTCTGCTCACTGTGCTGGAGGTGATTTCGTCAGTCTCATAAACCAATCCTGGCGTGTCAACTCTCATATAGTTGTGTACGCGAGCTCATCCGATGAATTCAATAAAAGAACCTCTTCCTCTGATTTGAACTTATTATGCTCTTTTCACTTAGATATGATACTTAATGATAACAAACTTTGTACAAAAGACAATGTGAACAGGAGTTCCTGCTTTGCTACACTATGACTCTGTCGCACTATTTTGTTTAAAACTGTCCTTATTGGAGAACGCTGAAATTCTAGTTATATGATTCTTATTTTTGAGGTTTATAAGTTTATTTAGAATGGTCATAAGTGAGAAAGGAACATATTGTGAAACTGCTAGCATTTCTATTAGAAGTAGACTGCGCCACTAACCAAAAAATTTTCACGGAAGTTTTGGTCCGTGGCGCAGGCTATATCATAAGTTGAAAAAGACCTGATGCATACTTAAGTCTTTTCTTCCAAATGTTATACTGAATCAAACTGAGTCTTTAGGTTTCATAATTATATTAATGGGTAAATTACATGCAAACGTTTGATTTCATGTATCAAATACTGTGATACTGTAAGCAAAGAATAATCTTGACCTAGACTGGATTCTAAGGAACACCCTATTTCAGTTATTTTTTTCAAAATTCCAAAATGTAGCCTTTTTTTAAGTTTCAATGTCCTAGGTTTGAGAAAAAGCCACCCCGTTTCTCAGGAGTTTTCCAGACGAGCTTGGGTACTCTGGATGAGAGTGGATACGCCGGGTAGCTAATGTATAAACTTGAAATGGCTGAAATAAAAAACAGTCTCCTGTTTCAGCGCAGGCGCAACAAGGTTAATAATGGATTGAGAAAATGCTCTTATGCTTGTAATTTTGTTGTTAAGCGTGCATAGCATTTTGAAATGAAGAGAACGTGCATCGTTTAGGCGAGTACGAAGAAAATCACCCTAACCTCCGGACTTGCCCACAGTTTCGGGGGATCAGAGGGGTGAAAAACCCCTTGTAAGCTAAAGAGTTATTTCGTCAGAAAACATCTGATCTTGTCAGAAATATAACATGGTTGTCGTTTTTTCATCTAAGTGCTTGAAAATTGAATATAACGATTTCTCTTTCATTAAACTATAGTATTTAAAAATACCATTTTTAAGAGAAGACCAGAAAATCACTAAATACCATAATTTGAGTTAGTGACAAGTATGCTAGCTTCTGTTTAATCTAGTTCTAATGTCTTTATGTTATGTTCAAATTTGTGAAAAAATAAAATGCTTATGATATTTCTCCCGAAAAATCTAAATTTCTCAACCCTCCTGTGAATTTTCCTATCTGCGCCACTGACTAAGACATAACTGCCTGAATGGAGCAAGAATGGGATAAATTTTGCATGATAGGGAAAGGGCCGAAGCCCCCAATCTCTTTTGTCTGCTAAGCCTATGTTTGTATAGCATGAGCAGGGCTATATAGAGTACATACAACTAAAAAACTATTTCTAACAAATTATTATTCGTTATTGCTATCTCAAGCCTGGCATGTCTCATTTCATTCAGAGGTATACCCAGTCCCATACGGAAAATCTCTATAAAAGGGTGATTTTTTCCTCAGGGCTAGGACAGTGAAACTTAAAAAATGGGGTACCTTTTAGAATTTGAAAAATCATTGAAATAAATGTTTTAAACTATGTGGTCTACAGTTCTTCTTTACTGACAAAATCACAGCGTCTGATACATTAAGTAAAATGTATGCATGTCCTTTGATCATTAACCTTTATTATTATGCACAAAGGATATTTAGAAAAAAAAACGTTATCATTTTGATTCAATATAACATTTGGAAGAAAAGACTTTTGCATATAAAAATTTATTTTCGACTTTCAATATAGAAATGTTGGCAGTTTTCTTTCACAATGTGTTTCCTCAATTTATCAATATTTTAGAAAAACATTTATAAACCTTTGAGATTAAGAACCACATACCTAGAACTTCAGCATAGTTTAAGACAACATAGTGTGACAGAATCATAATGTAGCAAAGTTGGATCTCTTGTTCACTTCGTGTTATTGTATAAAGTTTATTATATTTAGTATCAGGGTGTCGTTTTTTAAAGTTATTTTGAAAACTTAAACTTTTAGACGAAAATTTCCTGTATAAAAAGTTTTGGAAACTTGCTGCTCTAAAACCTCAATTATGCGATAAAATCATGTCGTTGAAGAAAAGCAGGAGTCATATAAATGAAAAACAAAATTTCAGATTTTATCAGTAACTTCTGGAATGCTTATAACCAGGGCCACGGAGAGGTCTCTTAGGTCCTGGAACGAAATCTATCGATGCCCCTTTTGAAAAGAAAATTCTGCGACCATGCTTTGAAATGATTAGTAACGGAGTTCGGTTCTTTCTGTAAAGCACTTCCTGTATAACACTTTCTGTATAGCCTGCATTCGAAAGGTAACTCAAACACTCATAACAGTAAGTAGTAATTTGTTACTTTTTATTCGTTACTTTTTGCAATGGAAGCTGTTCCCCTTGAGCTTCCTTAGCACATTATTACTGTGCTAGCCTAGTTTTGCTCTTTTTCGATGTAATGAAGTAATTCATAACTGCCCAATTCATAACTCAAGCATTTCATTTCCTACATAACTGCCCAACTTCTTGCGGAGTTTATAAAACAGTTAATTTAGCTATGGCTAAAAATTTTCTGTAAGAAGATTTTTTAACCGAAGTTCCTTGTGACAAATGGTTACACGGTCACGAAGAAAATAACACCTTGCTTAGTATTTTATCTCAGCGAAAAGGGTATAAAAACTTCATATATAAGTCAGAGGAAAGGGGCGTTTTTAGAACTCTCGGATGAGCTCGGGTACACTACAATGAGAGTGGACACGCCGGGATCTCAAGCTGGCACATTCTAGAATTTTCAACGACCATTCTGGCTTGCTGCTCAATTTTGAACCTCAAGGTTCCTCCATGTTCCAAATTTGAGTGCAGAAATCTCATAAACTAGTTTGAGATGAAGCTGTTTTCATTTCGTAAAAATTTTGTTATTTTTTCCTTTGGCAAAATCTTTCATAGTGCAAAATGCAACCCATGTAGGTAAGCATTACATCAATAATATTTCTGCATCATTGCTTTTTATTGTATTTTGTCATCCTCTCAACATTTCGCCAATTGAAATAATGTGCTTGCACCTTGATACAAATTCTTCTAGTTTTTCTTAATTCCTGAAATTCTTTTGATTCATCTAGGATGTTCCAACGTGCGCAGCAACGATTAAGTTCATTTTGGATACAGAACGCCTAACTTAAGTTACTTGTCTCCATACCCAAACCCTCCGTTTTTGTGGTTTACTTAAATTAGTAGTTCAACCTCTAGTTGCATCTCGCTTGTGTATCCCGTATATACTTTAATGCTTAGGTTTTTTATGTCGAATCTAAAAACTTTCTTTCAAATGTGTCTTCTACACTTTTGATTCAAGTTTTTATTGGGATTTAAATGCCACTTCAAGCCAGGGCTGGATAAAGGTGAGTGCTATCGGTGATTCAGCATTAGGCCCATTCCTGAAATAGATCCATTCCTGAAATAGGCCAATTCCATGAAATAGGCCCTGATGAAAACAGGTGAGAGTTTCCGTAAAGGTCCATTGGGCCAAAAATGCAAAAGTGGGAAAACGCATAAAAAATCATGTTGAAGGATTATTATGTTGACGGACAAATATTCAAAACCTTCAGATATCTTGATACAATTATTAATCAAATTCATCAAGCATATATTCTCTGCTAGAACACATTTTCACGATATTTTTCCTCACTTTCTATTTTGCCAAAATTTTTAGTAAAAAGGACATGTTAGTTTAGCTTTGGCTTTTTGCATTCATAATTCGGGCATGAAATCCAACAGAAGAATTTATCGAATGAATTTCTTTTGATTTGGCATCTACCTGCCAGCATCTAAGTGACATTTTTCCCTTCTATGAAATTTGCTCATAAAAGTGGTGTTAATAGACGCTTTTTGGTAAACATCCATTCTCCTGGAATTTCTAAAATATTTGATTCTGCTGTCTATCCATGGAACCAATCATGCCTAACCTGCGCGCAGACTCCAAGTATGTTACCAGAACTGGTAAGATACTTGGAGTCTGCGCGCAGGTTAGTCATGCCCTCCATAGGGACAAAGTTTGTTGGCCCAAATTAATTGGGCTTAATTAGCTTAGTTTAATTGACCTTAATTTCTCTGGCCTTATTAATTTTAATCATTAGCCAGTTTAAAATGGATTAACAAGAGTTTTAAAAAATCTTTCCTCATAATATTTTGAAGAAACGAAGGTCAAGAATATTTATTTGCCAATTTTAGAAAAAGAGAAGGGATAACACACGCTAACCTTCCTCGATTGTTAATTGATTGCTGTTCAATCTCTAGTGAGTTTATTTGCAACTGGCAAAGAAAAAAGAAAAATGCAACGAGCTGATTCTTCGGGTCCTGCAGGTCGGCATACCCAGGTCAACACTGTATCTACGCGGCGCAATATTACGTGTTTTGGTAATAAAATTCAAAACAAGCTGTTCTTGTTTTTTATTCACTGCTTAATTTTTAATTTCCGAGCTTATGTTCCTCTCCAACGCATTCTGATCAAAAAGATATAATTAAATATATGCAAAGTTTATAAAAAGAAGTCTTCTGTCTTTGAAAGCAATCTTAAAGATTACTTTTAAAAATGATACTAT